TATCTGGGTGTCATCAGCATACTGATGACACTGCACTCCATGCCTCCATGCATAACTTTGTGATTGCTACACAATTATAATCTTGGGTCATCATCTACAGCAGGGGTAGGCAACCCAAGGCCCGGGGCCAAATGTGGCCCCCCCGAGGCCTTTGGACCGGCCCCAGGCCAGTCCTGCCGCCACTGCCGCCGCCCACCATGATGATATTGATTATTGTTGTTATTACTTGTTCTTGGGGATTTCTTGGCAAAATCTCCACAGGGGTTTTGCCATGGCTTTTCCGGGGCTGAGAGAGCGTGCATGCATATTTTTTATTTTTTATTTATATTTATTTATTTATTTATTTATTTATTTATGGTGCTTCGGCCCCCCAATTGTCTGAAGGACAGCAACCCGGCCCCCGGCTCAAAAAGGTTGCCTACCCCGATCTAGAGTAAAAATGGGAAAAGATATAATTGTCATAAACAAACCTTTCCTTCTGCAGTCCAGTGTTTGTACAGGAAACACATAAATGTGGCAGAGAGAAGAATCAAATTCAGGTCTAGAAACTTCAGATTTTGGTACTGCTAGGTTAGAAGGGTCCTGTCTTTCACCTTCACCACACAGCTGTTCAACTTTTATCATCTTCAGCTTTTGACCATTTAGTACCGTTGGATGGACACATTTTGCATAATTTCCCAGATTCCTGTTTCTTGGAAGCTGCAGCATTGTTATAAGCGTTTCCATTTGACAGTTACATTGCCAAGGATTATCATATAGGCGCAAATAATTTAAAAGAGGCATATAAATTAATACCTCTTCAGACAAAGTCTTAAGTTGATTGTGCTGGAGTAAAAGTGTTGTTAATTTGTTTAAACCAAAAAAAGCCTGGTCCTCAATTTTTGATATTTCATTCTGTTGTAAATCTAAGCTTTTTAATTTTTTGTACTTGGAAAATATATTGTTCTTCAGCTTACGAATTTTGTTTCTTGCTAGAAGCATGTGTTTTAAATCCTCAGGCCAATCAGACAGTACAAATGTCAGTTTTCTTTCTTGGCAATCTAGGTATTTATCATGAAGATAAGTATATACATCACATGAGGGGTCTGGAATATAGCGCTTAACGGTGCTGGATGCTTTTCTTAAGCCGTTTGCCTTTCCATTATTTGCTTTGTTTCTTGAACTTCCATTTCTTGTCTTCCTAAAGTCAACTGCTTTGCAGAAGAGAAGTAGTAGTATAATCGTAACCACTTGCATCCTGACATCCAGCTGGCCCCAATTACTTTGTAGGACAGCTGGAGCAGTCAGAGTATTCCTTTGAAATCTGAGTTTAGAAATCTTAAAACTGGTGTGGTTCAGAATCAAGGAGGCACAGCTGGGGTATGAGGAATCTTTCTGTTGGAAGAAAAGCAGAAAATTAGATATTTCTACAGAAGATCATATAATAAACTAAAACTGATTGCATATTAAAATCATGTCAAAGTCACATCCAGTACTGTATAATCTATATACCACATTGTATCATCAAAATAATTTTTTGCAGAGGTAGTAATGGTATACTTCCATAGTTCTGGTGTCATGTAAGTTTTCATACAGTGATATAAGGCAGGGATTTCTGGATATTAATTTGTTCATCATTTATTAAACCAAACCAAGTTGGCGAGCTTTGTTAAATTAATAAAACAATTTGACATCCTCAGAAATGTAAACATGGCTTGTGTAGTTTCCAGTATACTGAACACAATGATGAAAGGCTTCAAAGTTTGCCTTCAGTTAATTTGTCATGAAATGAAATCAGATTTTATTTTCTGTCCTATACACAAGTTTGGTTATATAGAATTTCAAATTCCATGTATCATTATACTTTTTGATCCAGACTTTGTGAAACTTAGAACAGACGTGCAGAAATCAAGGGGAACAGTTATTGTATGCAAGGGGCTGTACAGATGGCCCCTAAGGGGTGGCAGGACACTGCCCCTTTCCTTGCTGGATCGGGGCCATGACAACCACACACCACAGCCCCAATCTGGGCTTTCCGTGGCTCCTTTTTGCACCAAAGAAAAGGTGTCCTACCTGTGGCGGCAGTGGCTTTTGTCCGCTTCTTCGGCACATCGCATGTAAATGCTGCACTAAAGACACACCCTTTTGTCACCCGCCATGCAGTTGCTTCCCACTCTACCCCCAGGCCAGCCCTTTTGGCCAGTCTGTACTGGCCCCAAGTCTCACTTATTTTGATGGGCCTGTTCTAAACATTACTGCAATTCTGTATACACTTTTCTGAGATAAGACTAATTTAATAGAATGGAACTTCAACTGCCTAGATATGTATAGACTGTATATGTCAATCCAATGCATGTAACTTAGAACTTGGAAGTGAGTCCCATTATTTTCAGTGGGGCTTACTCCCTTATAAGTGTGTTTAGTATTGCCACCTAAGATTTATCTTCTTGTTAATGTTGGCCAAATCAGACTTCTTTGGCTTTTCTATATTTGTTCTTTCCAGCTGTTTTCCCCCCTGTATTCCAAATTTTAGATTGATATTATTATATAATGTTAAATCCTACCTTGTGCTTTTTGCAGAATTCAAGTTATTACCTTGTATTTATTTTAGGTCAGTGCAGCAATTTGCAAGAATTGAATGTCTCTGAATGTCAAGGGTTAAATGTAAGTATTAATATTACAGATGTGAGATGCCTTTAGTAAAAGTTGGAAATAATAAATTGTAGCTCTAGAACAGTTACCAAGATATTATCTAAAATTTGTATCTGAAAGCCATGTGGCTTAATAGGTTGCTACCAAGAAGGAGTTTCACTGCACCAATGATTATAACTGGCATTGTTAGTGAATTTGCTGGAAAGGTTATGCATTTGTCATGTTCCAAAAAGTGACAATTTACCCACTGTCTGTGTGTGTGTTGGGGGGGGGGGATCGAACACAATTTGAAACAATATTTTTGGAATCTAAAAAAAATCTCTCTGCCTGGATTAGCATACAGAAAGTCAGATGTAATGTAGCCTCTATTACAGGGCAAGTGAGGACAAGCAAAATATTGGGAAATATTGCTATGTTTCATTTCAATTTACCCTGTAATAGCAACAACACAACTGACAGATTTCAGGAAAAGAAAGATAATACCTCCATCTTTGTTGGTTTTCTATTAATTGAGGAATGGGGGGGGGGGGAACTCATGAGTGCTGAAAAACTATATGAGAGACTCCTGGTAATAATAAGAATCACTTTCACACCAATATACTAAATTAGGTTGAAGTATATTGGTTGAAGGTGATACAAGGTGATAAAATATGTGTGAATAAAGTAGAAAATATTCATGAATAAATGTTAGTCAGCTTGTCAGAAAACTATATGTAAAACCTGATTTTGTGAACAAGAGCACATACACAGAATGGAGTGTTCCCAGCCTGTTCTGCAACACCCCCCCCCCACAGTGTTTCCTTTAAAAAAACTGTTTTGGTGTCTGGGAGAGTAACCCAGGATATGATGTGGAATATGTTGTGGAGGACTGCAGATAACAGGGAAGGTTGGAAATCCCCCTGCCCTACAATAAACAGAGGAACAGCTTAGGATCCAAGCCTATATTGTCTGGTTTTCTGTTCATTCTCAATAAGATAAATTGTGATCATTGTGGTCATTCTGTTGCTCATGTTACCTTAGAATTAATTGCCATATAGGGGGGTTGCAGACTGCCAGAAATAGTGCAAATTGAGTC